GTACATTTTTGACCTGGCTCAGCTCTCACGTGGACCCCTCTTTGTGCCTCTCTCGATAGACCCTGGGATGACTGACCCCTCTGCCTCACAGAGTTGGGTGACGTGCCACTATTGTCCGCACAGAGAAATGTTGTCCTAATTCACAAGCACAGATCATGCTTATGAAGGTCAATTCAGCCAGGGTGGCACTAACAGGGTACCTCCCATGTCGTCATGACCCACAGCACAGGTGTGAGAGCTGGCCTGCAGGAGTGGACAGCGGAGCCCCATGGGGAGACCTTGAGGGGTGACTTGTGAGGAGTAGAAGCATCAGGTGGGAAGGGCGGAGAGGAGCCATGTGTCACCTGTCCCCCTAAGAGCAGTAGAGGGAGTGTCACAGGGCAAGGCTTCCTTTTATCTTCAATTATCCTCTTAGTCAAACTCTGAGGGGTGAGCCATGAGGTCCTTCTGTCTCTACACAAGTATCACCACAGTGCTTCACACATCATTTCTACTGACAACATCTCCAGCTTTTGTAAGTGAATTAGTTTCATCGCATCAGCGGTACTAGGATTGAAAACCAAGTCTTGGATATTAGTCATTTGTCTGGGATATTAGGTGAAATATGCTTTCTTGCCAATTATATTTCATAAAGTTAAAGGGTCTCTCTTCCAATACTGACAATTGTCCAAATCGTTAGCCTTGACCATGTTAGAAAAGGAATCCTGATCTAACTGTCAGGGGATGAGTCTCACCTAAGGAGCCCAACCAGTCGTCTGTTTCCCAGTCCCACTGACACATGATCCTGTGTTGTCTGCCTTGGAGGGAGCAGAGGGAGTGTCCCCACCTCTGTGCACAGTCTTGTGTTTCACTGGGAAACAGATTCCAGCACCATGAAGACCTGAGTGCCATTCAGACGCTCGTCCTCCCTGAGGGTTGTGACAGGAGGGGCTCAAGCAGCCTGGGGAGGGGGAGGAAGAGGACATGGGACATGGTGAGGGGCAGAGCAGACAGAGGCCAAAGGGAAGGCTCTGAGGTCAGACTCCTGGATTGGAATCTTGACTCATCACTGCCTGGGAGACTTTGGGAAAATCATTTACCTCTCAATAAGGGATCTCTCCTCATTAGACTGGGGGAGAGGCTGTGCCATCAGAAGAGGGAAAAGTTGGGTTATGATGGCAGGTGAGGGGGTGCAGGTGAAACAGTCACCGAAGGTGTGACCTCTATTCAGGGCTCAAAAATAGTAATTCTATTGAACCAGCTATACATGTACAATGACATTCATCCTGGGGACACCAGGAGGAACTGTGGGTCCTGGTTTGGGGACCCAAATAAGTCCAATTCCCCTGGGCTGTGCCCGAGTGCAAAGGGCATAACCGATGCTGTTTTGAAAACACTTCTACTGGGTACAATCAACTCTCCACTCTGAAACCCACACCTGGCCCTGCTTCTGACCTCAGGAAATTACCAACATGAGGCCCTTAGGCTCAGGGCTCAGGCAAGGGCTGAGACACACACACTGGGGAAGGGAGAACAGATTTGCATTCCAACTCCTCCCTTCCTGAGCTGCAAGAAGAGAGGATAAGACAGGAGCTTGGAGAGGCCAGTCCCAGCTGGGCAGCCTCAGGGCAGAGCTCCAGGAAGATTCTCCCCACCATGGACTGGCTTCCCTTCTACCTCCTGCCCCTGGTTTTCTCCACAGGTCAGAGTATCCCAGGGCACTCAGGGGGTCCCCCTTTCCAATATTTCCCTCCAAGTTCATCCTTGAGAGACTTGTGTCCCAAATCTGGTGCATTCGGCATCATTTTTGTATTTTTCCTTTTCTAGGCTCCTGTGCTTGGGTTGTGCTGACACAGCCCCCATCTGCATCTGCCTCCCTGGGAGCCTCGGCCAAGCTCACCTGCACCCTGAGCAGTGAGCACAGCACCTTCTACATTCACTGGTATCAACAGGCACCAGGGAAGGCCCCTCGTATGTGATGAGGGTTAACAGTGACGGAAGTCACAGCAAGGGGGACGGGATCCCCGATCGCTTCTCAGGCTCCAGCTCTGGGGCTGACCGCTACTTAACCATCTCCAACCTCCAGTCTGAGGACGAGGCTGAGTATTATTGTGGTACAGGACATGCAAGTGATGGTCAAATCCGTTATACCACAGTGACACAGACAAAGGGGAAATGAGGCCAAAACCTCCTTCCATTCCCTTTGCCCTACGGGGACACAGGGTAAGCTGATCTCTGTCCGTCTCCATGATCCTGAGGCCTTTGCCGCTTCCCCTTGCAAATCCTATCATCCTACCCCCTCCCGGAGACACCACAAGGGAGAGCTCATGGTTCCAACAGGGTCAGTCTGTCATCTGCTGTCATGTTACTGTGACAAATTAACAGTATGAAGAAGTACGCCTTTGTTGTCTGTTCCTTTCCTGTGGCTTTGGCTTCAGAGATGCCAGGTGATTCTGGGACCAGAACATAAAATTTCACATCAAACATACATGTGTGATATCAATTATACTCAATATAGCTGTTAAAGAAAATAGAAAGAGGAGGAAGTGCTTGTGTGGCCTGTGGCCTTTGCAGACTCTCCAGAAGCAACATCATTTAGTGCTTTTGTATCCTTGGGGAATCTCTTGGGCCAACAAGCTGTTGACAATCTAATTGAGGAAGCAGCTGAAACAGGTCACAGGCCCTGCACCTGGAGATGATGGAGCTGATGTGGCTGAGGGTGTGATGGGGAGGCTGGGAGGGAGGGAGAGTATCAGGGGAAGGCGTCCTTTCCCCTCAGGCTCCCTCCTCATCTCTCTCTCTCTCTCTCTCCCTCTCCCTCTCCCTCTCTCTCTCTCTGTCTCTCTCTCTCTCTCTCTGGAGCTGTCTTGATTTTTCCATTCTTACTGGGTTTTTTTTTAAATTTTCGGTATATTTCTCTTTTACTCTTAGGTCTTTGTTCATTAACTCATTCTCTAATCATATAGTGTGTGTGTGTGTGTGTGTGTGTGTGTGTAGTGAGTTGGATATGACTCTATCGCGTATGTAGGATCATGTGTCCACCACAGTAGTCTAGACACACAGCACTTCCATCACCACAAGGGTCCCTCGTGCTGGCCTTTTGTAGCAGCATCCACCTCCTCCCCCTGAAGCACCCCTCCCTCCTCTAACCCCTGGCACCACTAATTAGTTATCCATGTCTACAATTTTGTCTTCTCAGAAATGATATATACAAATAAAAACATAGTTTTACCATATTTAGGCTTTTGGGATTGACATTTCACTTCAGTACCATCCTCTGTAGATGCCTCAAAAATAATTTTGCATTAAGAGTTCCTTCCTTGGGCTGGCCGAGCGGCTCAGTTGGTTAAGAGTTAGCTTAAGAGTGCGAGCTTTGAGCAACAGGGCTGCTGGTTCCATTCTAACATGGGTCAGTGACACTGCGCCCGAGCTGAGCTACCGCTGAGCTGCCAATAGGTGGCAGAATGGTTCAGCCGGTGAGAGCATGTGCTCCTAACAAGAAGACTGCCTGTTTGATGGTGGGCTACACCTGCCCACAACTAAGACTGAACTCGGCACCTTGAGCTGAGCTGCTGCCCGGATGGCTCAGTGGATAGGGCATGCACTCTTAACAACAAGGCTGCTGGTTGAACTCCTGCATGGGATGGTGGCTACACTCACCTGCAACTAAGATCGAACTCGGCACCTTGAGCTGAGAGGACACAAGCTGCCAATGAGCAGTCAGAAGGTGACTAATGCCCTCCACAACTAAGATTGAAGAACAACTTGGCTGGTTCCCCTCCCCAATTCCCCAACACTGTTCCCCTCCCCCAACTCACCAGTTTAAAAAGAAAATACTTACTAACAAAAAAAGAGTTCCTTCCTTTTCACTGCTGGGTAGTATCCATGGTCCAGGTGGACCAAAGTCTACTTAACCATCTACCTTGGAGGGGCATCTGGATTGTCTCATTTTGCAGCATCACGCACAAGGGTGTCATGAACACTTATGTGTAGTTTCTCTGTGAACATAAGTTTTCACTTCTCTGAAATAAATACTCCAGTGTTCAACTGATGGGTCATATGGTCATTGAAGGCTTAATCTCTTAAGAAGCTTCCAAACCCCATCCAGAGTGTCTGCACCATTTCACATTCCCACCAACCATGCATAAGTGATTCCTTTTCTCCACATCGTTGCCAGCACTGGGGGTTGTCACTGTTTTACTTTAGCCATTCTGGTTGGTGCGTGGTGATACCTCACTGTGGTTTGTATTTGCGTTTCCCTAATGGATAATGATGAACATCCTTCCATGTGCTTTGTACCATCTCAAATCCTCTTCCTCTTCCATGACATGTCAGTTCTTATTTGTCCATTTCCTTAATGGATTGTACTTTTCCCGTTAAGATTGATCGTTCTTTACATACTCTATACACTAGTCACTCACTGGGTATGCAGTTTATAAGTATTTTCCCTCTGTCAGTTTCCTGGTGTTTTTTATCCTCTTTAGAAAGTTTTGCAAAGCATAGGATCTTTAACGAGTTCAATGTGTTCATCTTTCCTTTTATGAATCATGGTTCTGATGTCATCAAAGAATTCTTGCCTAACCTTAGATCTCAAAGATTTCTCCTAAAACAAACAAAAAAATTGCCTGAAAGGAACAGGAGCAATTTCTCTATATCTGGTCATGGATTTCTGGCCTCTCCTACAAGTTCCTGTTTCAAGCACTCCCTGCCCCCCTCTCCTCCATGAATGACCTCATCACTAGACAGGAGGACTAAGGGGTCTCCCCAAGCCTAGAGAGACGGTCCAGGGCTCAGCCTGAGATGAGTGAACAGGTGCTGGGTCAGGGGACAGCACTGTCTCCCTCTACACCACAGAGAGCTCTGGGGAACCTGGGTATAGGCATGGGAGTGAGGGCCCCAATTTAAGTCCTCCATAAGCCCAGCTGTTCTCTGCTCAGCAGGAGACACTCAACAAGCCACAAAAGGAAGGAAGCTGATTTGCATAAGGACCCCTTCCAGAGGATAAGAGAGGCCTAGAGACCACATCCCCCTCTGTGGGTCAGAGATCAAGCCTGCTGCTCTCCACCATGGCCTGGACCCCTCTCCTGCTCCCCCTCCTCGCTCTCTGTACAGGTGCTGCCCCAACCCTGCCTGCCTCTCAGCTCCCACAGGACCCTGAGCTGGACCTGCCCCAAACTCTGAGCTCAGCCCAGGCCAAGCCTCAGAATGGTCTTTATCCTCAAGCTTCCTCTCCTCTCTTCTCCTACAGGCTCTGTGGCCTCCTATCAGCTGACCCAGTCGCCTTCTTTGTCAGTGGCTCCAGGAGAGACAGCCAGGATCACCTGCTCTGGAGACTTACTAGACAAAAAATATACTCATTGGTTCCAGCAGAAGCCAGGCCAGGCCCCTGTGCGGGTCATCTATAATGATAGAGAACGGCCCTCAGGGATCCCTGACCGATTCTCTGGCTCCAGCTCAGGGAAGACGGCCACCCTGACCATCAGTGGAACCCAGGCCGAGGATGAGGCTGACTATTACTGCCTATCAAGCAACAGTGATGGTACTACTCACAGTGACAGAGGCAGATGGGGAAGTGAGACACAAACTCCCTTCCTAGTGTGTGTCACTCTCCTACAGCCCCAGGAGGACTGGTGACAAATCCATGAGCAAATCTGGCCCAGGTCTCCAGATCTGAGATCCCCAGACTGCCTCCTCCTCCCAGCCCTCAGAGAGCTCTGCAGAGGCTGGACCAGGTGTGAATTCAGGGCTCACAGGTCCATTCTGTCCTGGTGTTGTCTAGACCTGCGTGTGAGTGGAGGACAGAGGGCGTGAGTGGAAGGATACACAGAGAGACATAGAGTGGTAACAGACCTTGAATATCCATTTGATGTTGAATAGGACACTCATTGGTCACCTGTCCTGGATTAAACCCTAGAACTAACCAGCTCATCTGAGTTCACAAAGCCCCAGGATCCATAGCTGCCTGGGACTCTGAACAGAGCAAACCAGTGCATTGAACACTGTAGAATCCACCTAGGTCCCCTCTTCATGATTAAATCACCCTCCTACCCCTGCTGGGGACCCCGGCAGCTCACAGATGTGCCCTCACTGGGAAGTGCTGTCATTGAAAAGGACTATTTTGAATCCTCAACTAATTATAAAAAAAATTTGATAAATGGGAAAAGGGACCTGGGAAGGATGGGACAAATAAATAAATAGTAACATGACATATTTGAACTATATTACCAATCACATTTGGTCTATGCTCTAAACGCCGTAATTAAAAGGTAGAGATTATCAGATGGAATTTCAAAGCAACACCCTACCAGAGGCTGCAGATAACAATCCTACAGCAAATAAAAGACCAGAAAAAACAAGGTCAAATTCAGGAAAAGTTTCCCACCTTAATTCTGCTCCCCAGTGTAGGGCAAAAACATTTACAGTGGACAGAGAATGTGGACAGATGAATTGCACAGTTTAAAATGGTTACATGGAAATGTTCATATTATGTGTATTTTACCATATAAAATAATGAAACATTGACAGTGCACATTTCCTGAATAACAGTACAGAAATGCCCTTCATCCCTCCCTCCTCTCCCCACAGCCTTTAAGATTGTTTAAAAAGAGTGGCAATCCCTCCCCAATGAGACGTAAGAGGTGAACCTGATCCCCACCCACATGCCTAGCGCGTTCTCTCCACCAGCCTGAGAGGGAGCATTTCCACAGGGACCAGTGTGTGAGGGGGGCTGGGCAGCAGTGCCAGCTGTGGGCGCAGGAGTCAGAGCTCTGGGGAGACCCCGCCATGGCCTGGACCCCTCTCCTCTTCCCTTTACTGTTTACACACCTGCTTCCTCCCAGGCTCCTTCCCCAAGCACGGTCCTCGGCAGGACCCTAACCCTGCACATGACCCTGCAGGGAGCGGGAACCCAATGGGTGAGCCCAAAACCCCTGAACTTGCAGATCTGTGGTCTCATGAAAACTCAGCTGCTCTCAGTAGAGTGACCATGACACACCTGTCACTCCCACCTGTCAGAGGAGAGATAACCAAGCAATACTGTGGAGCAGAGCCATCAGGCCATAAGCCAAGCACCTGTACAACCAAAGCAGCCTTTCCCAATGCCCCCATATTCTCCAGATCTAACCTGGGAATAGCTGATGACAACCCCACGTGTAGAATGAGTGGTTCCTTATGACAGCGAGGCCATGATGGGGACAGCAATGATCCAGGGAGACACAGCCCTGCCACCCAGCCTGGTCCTTACACTTCTTCCTTCCTAAGCTGGTCAAGTTCCGCCCCAAAGAGCCAAGGTCTGAATCCAGAACCCCTGAACTCCAATCCTAGACTCACCACTTTTCTCTGTTTCCTGTGGGACTTAATCTCTGTGGGCCTGAACTTTACATCCTGTGAAATGAGAAAACCAATAATGATCTTAAGAATCTCTATTTTTTGTTTCAATTAAATGATACGAAATCCAAAAAAAAGTCTTATTAATGAAGAGGAACTCTATGGGAGCCCCAGTGAGTGGGCCCATGTCTTGGATTCTTCTGTCTTTTCTCTGAAGGATCCAGGACAGGGCCTCAGTGAGGACCATGTTTCTGGGTGGTGGACAGGCCTCAAGTCCAAGTAGCAGGAGGTTCCCAGATCATCAGCACAGCAGCCGAGACTAGTGTGGAAATCCCATCCCATGAGCTCTGAGGGGTATGTGATGAAATGAAAATAATATTAGTGATGATGATGAGGAGGAGGAGGAGGATGTGGTGATGGTGATGAGATGATGATGATGATGGTGATGATGATGATGATGGTACAAGTGCACAACTGAGCTTTTGGTGTCAGGAGTTTACCTGTTCCACCTGATGAATACCTGCTCATATTGAGGTGGAAGGAATAGCAGTTTTAGTTCCAAAATACACAGGATGTGAGGCTCCGTACTGGTGTGGCACACTTTCCAATAGACTTACATTTTTATATCCCTGCACTCTGCATTCTTCTAATAAAAACAAAGGAAAAACAAAGGGCATTTAAGCCAGGAACATGTTTATAGAAACTGACCTGCCCACCTCCCTGAACCCCTGATTTGATCTGTCTGTGCTGGGCTGGGCAGGGCAGGGGGGTCACAGTGGCACAGAGGGAGGGCTGGATTCCCTGGTCCACACCCTGTCGGGTAACAGGTGCTCTGGGTGACCTGCAGGAGGAAGCGCCTGTAGGAGTCTTCTCCACCAGCATGGGGCAGCAGAACTGCAGCGAGAAGCAGCCAGGAAGAAGTCTGGGGGCTCCCAGTTAGAGCTTCAGAGGGGCACCAGCCCTGGGGTCAGCAGTGTCCAAGGCTCAGTTCCCCAAAAAGAAGTCGGGACAGTCCATCCCATCCCCTTGAGACCCAGAGACAATGTTGTGAGTGTCAGCCTCACAGTGTCACCCCTGGACACTGACCGGACCAAGGCACAATGAGAGCTTCACCTGAAAGGCAGGTCACCTCTCTGTCCAGGAGAGATCCCAGGGAGCTGACCTCTGTCCTGGGCATGTCCACAGACACCCTGACCTCTCACCCTCTGCCTCTGATCTAGAGGCTGCAGCACCTTTGCTGAGGGTCACCTCAGGGAGTGAGAGGCAGCAGTCAGAGCCCCTGTTCCCTGGATGGGGCATCACAGACCCTTTAAGAGACTCTCTGAGAGTGAAGTGGATTCTCACTCCTCAAGTCACAGCTCTGACACTGGGCTGTCCTTGTTCAGTGACAGGACCCGCCTCAATGGAGGGACCACTGACCATCTAGACCCTGGAGCTCACAACCTGTGCAAAGACCATGACCCTGGGGTACCTCACAGTGATCATGGAGCCTAAAGCTGGTGTCTCTGTCAGGGCTGGGTTTCTGGTGATTATAACAAATTTACTTAAAACATTCATAAAAAATTTGAAAACAATGAAAGAGTTGACAATGCCAATTGCTAGTGTGTGTGGATAGGGGATGTCACAGAAGGTAGACAAAAAGAAGTTTATAAAGAAACCAGGGGAAAATTTGATCATCAAAAGCATGAGGATATTTACTGAGGAACCCATCATACTTGAAACAATGAACAAACATCCTAACAACACAGAACCGCGCTTTAATGAAATGTAGAGGGCGGGAACAAAAATGTGCATGGGGCTAACAGAGGGGATGTTGAGGAGGACAGGTTCCATTGACTGCCGTCTGCTGAATCAGGTGTGCTCACTTACCTCTCAGAGGGCCCAGCTCAGCCCCATGGGCAGGTTCCCACAGCCCCACTGGGTCAGCTCAGGAAAGACCCCAGCCCAGGAGGGTCTGGGACATGTGGTCAGACCCCAGAAAGGTGACTGTGCTTGTGGAACTCAACAGTCCATGGCTGATTTTCTGACCTGAGAAGCAGCTTAGAAGCTGGCAGACTCCTCCCTTCCTCCTCAGCCACCTGTTCGGCCCGATATTTGTGGAGAGAATGATCTCTGCTAACGCCTTCATTTGGAACCCCAGATGAGAAGCACATTTGCACATAAGCTAAATGAGCTCACCCCCAAAGGACTGAGGAGGGAATAAGAGGAGCCTGTGTGAGTGGAGCAGTCCTGCGAGGTCCCAGGAGGCACAGCTCTGGGGCCACCTCACCATGGCCTGGACCCCTGTCCTGCTCCCCCTCCTCACTCTCTGTACAGGTGCTGCCCCAAGGTCCCACCTGCAGTCTCAGTCCCCACAGGACCCTGAGCAGGCCTGTCCCATCCCTGAGCTCAGCCCAAACGCAACTTCATTTGGAGCCCCCTGGGAACGGGTCTTTCATCTTCAACCCCTCTCCTCCATTCTCTCACAGGCTCTCTGGTTTCCAGTGAGCTGTCCCAGCTGCTCTCAGTGTCTGTGGCCCCGGGACAGACGGCCAGGATCATCTACTCTGGAGATACCATCGAAGACGGATATTATGTGTACTGGTATCAGCAGAAACCGGGACAGGCCCCTGTGCTGGTCATCTATGATAATAGTGATCGGTCCTCAGGGATGCCTGACAGATTCTCAGGCTCCAGCTGGGGAAACACGGCCACCCTGACCATCAGCGGGCCCAGGCCGAGGATGAGACTAACTGTTACTGTCAGGTGTGGGCTATTGTCAGTGATAAGACCCATAGAGACACAGGCAGATGGGGAAGTGAGACAAAACCCCCTGCGCTGTAAGTATCACACTCTCCTTCACCCCCAGGAGGACTGTACACAAAGCCATGATTGGTCTGGCCCAGGTCCCCAGATCTGAGATCCCCAGTCTGCTCTCCTCCTAGCCCTCCAGACAGGCTCTGCAGAGGGGGTCATGGGAGACATTAGAAAAATTAATATTGTAAATGCATTAAATTTGATTACAGACATAATGGAATGATAGCACATATTAAGCACAGACTCAGATGATGTTTAAACAACATCATGTCTCACTTTTCGGAGATGATAATTGAATCGTCTGAGATTTTAAAATGCACTGTTGAGATTAGACACTGCAGAAGAAGAGACTGGTGAGTAGGATGACATAAAAATAGAAATGACATAAAAATATTCAAAACGAAATTAAAAAAAAACCCCAGCTGAAAGCAATGAGCAGAGCCTCAGTAATTTGTAAGATAACTTCATGCAGCCTGATAGGCATGTAATTGGAGTCCCAGAGCAGAGAAGACAGATACGGGTGAGTA